CATTAAATAACTACATGAAAATTATTCATTAATAAATCTGACATGATACCACTTTGCTAACATAAATTATACCTATTCTGCAATCCCCATAACTGAATTTCATCAATGGACTTACTGAATTTGATGGACTCTGGTTTAGGCTGCTTCAGTTCTATTTTCACTGGTAGGGATTGAATGTGTTGTTTTGTATGTCTATCACGTATCTCTCCTATCACCTCTGGTGTGCTGCAGATTTCCTCCCCATATTCCTGTAGAAAGTAATAAGTCTATATAGTTGATATTCAAAAATGCATATATATACTTCATGAATTTAAACCTCTACATGCCAGCTAATAATTGTTACTAGATACTTATATACTAGCATAAGAAAGTGGAAGATTAGAGAGAGAGAGAAGTTTTACAGAAATAAACAGGGGTCCATGTTCTTCATTTACAAGACTCTGAAAAATATCATGACTAATGATTTGACAGATAGTGATACACAATATCCCATACAAATACAGTATAAAAGGGCGTAACGTGGACCAGCGCTATGGTATCCAGGAGTCTGCTGTAGCATATAGTCTTTCTGTATATTCTTAAAATAATACTAAAAAGAGTTAAAGGTGCATTTCTCTTAAACTAAAGGTAATAGAAAAGAGAACTGTAAATGTCAGATATTTTGAAACATAATTTAAGTCTGAAGGGGTAGATGCTGACATACGGAAATGAGTGTCAAACAATGTACACTGTACAGGTAAATGGGAAAGGATCATAACCATTTATAGTAGCCATCTCATTTTCATTTTAAAACAGAATTCCAGTGTAGGAATCAGGTGTGACTGAGGCAAATTGCAAAGGATTATCATGTATTCAATGCCTGATATGATAAAGTTTAATAAAGAATGAAGGGTAATCTGCTTCTTTCAAGCTACTTTTGCTCTTCATGTTTTTCAAGTATTAAGTGTGTGTATGAAGTGGGATGAAGTTGCCAGCTATTCCCTACAATTGTTAAGTGATTTCTTAGGGCTAAACAAACAACACCCACGAGTTATGTATATGTGCACACTTTCCAAAATACATCATCTATTGGAAAAGTAAAATGAGTCACTAAATTACAATGGAATGTTACAGAAATACCAACAGAATGCTAATTTCACATATTTCCTTAAAAAACTCCATCAAGAGCTTGCTGTGTTGTCAGAATGGCTGGGAGTTTTCTGAAATATTCCAATATTCTCAAAAGTTGATTGAAAAATCAGGTCCAGCAATCAATATAGGATATTTTTGGAGATGATGTTGAAAGAGAAGGGTATTGTCAGAGTATGGGGCTGTAGAGGGAATCACAAAGAATTAATCCCACTTGGCTGGGGCAAAAAGGATACTCAAAAGATTTATAGAGGTGGGAAGAGTAGAGGGACGGGGGCAGAATGGAAGATGGGATGGGATGGAGAAAGGCAGTACTGTTGGAGGGAGGACAATAAGGATGAAGAGAAGTAATAAGAGGGGGTGGGGAGAGACAATGAAAACGATTGTGCAGTAGGAGATGGAGTGGAGGATGCTGGAAGAGAGGAAGGGGTGTACTCTGATGGTTGAGTAATGACCTGGGTGGATGATTCGGAATGGATTGGCGATTAGCTGGGGGTCATGAATAGAACATATTGTACAATGACTATGTGGGTCCAGGGGGCTGAGCCCCCTGGCTGGGTGGTTAGGTGGGGGTGACGAGTAGAATGACTACAGAGATCCATGATGGGTAATGGTAGTTTCCCTTATAACATAAATTTTGCAATTTTGCCTTGGACCAAAAACTTCATGCCCCTCCATTCCTATCTGGACTATTAAATCAAGATAACCTAACCTAACAATACACACACATTTCTCCTAGAAAATGTTATTTTTCAGGGGAAAATAAACACGCTTGTCTTTGAAAGAACCACCCAATATTTATATCATCAGATTTATTCTTGTATAATGGAAACAAATCTGATAATCATTTCTATCACAGTCTTAACCGATAGTCCTGATAGCAGGGAATGAAGTATATGAAGGAAATTCTGAGGTAAAACTGGCTGAAATAATAACAATATTCTATCACAGTCTTAACCGATAGTCCTGATAGCAGGGAATGAAGTATATGAAGGAAATTCTGAGGTAAAACTGGCTGAAATAATAACAATATTATTTTTTCTGTCAATTCAAGGAACGATAAAATGAAAGGTTGACTCCTTTGTGGCTAAGCAATTGCTGAGCCCTCTTTGTGCAGAGACATTTCACAAAAAAAGGGCACAGCATTGTCTTTTTTTTGTAAGTTGGCATGAACTGGTAATAAAGTGGGGTATTGCTCCCTGTGTCTACGAAATAAATAGAAGGTACAAAAGGTTAGGTTTGAATTTTGGGTTCACATGATACCCTAGTTTTAAGACAGTCTCTGGTGGTTGTGCCATTTTCAGTACCAAATACAGTCAAAAATCTTAGTGCCAAAAACATGAATGCAGAGAAGGTCATTGTATGGTAGCGT